ATATTCTAAACATGTTAAATTTAAAATTCAGTGAGGATGTATCATAGATAGGTGACAATTGTCACAATCGTTATTTTTGAACTTTTTTCAATTTTTTTAAAGGAATTAGCTAAAAATATATATTCTAAACATGTTAAATTAAAAATTCAGTGAGGATGTATCATAGATAGGTGACAATTGTCATAATCTTTATTTTTGAACTTTTTTCAATTTTTTTAAAGGAAATAGCTAAAAATATATATTCTAAACATGTTAAATTAAAAATTCAGTGAGTATGTATCATATTGTCATATTCGTTAATTTTCAACCTTTTTTAATTTTTTCAAAGGAAATAGCTAAAAATATATATTCTAAACATGTTAAATTAAAAATTCAGTGAGGATGTATCATAGATAGGTGACAATTGTCAATCTTTATTTTTGAACTTTTTTCAATTTTTTTAAAGGAAATAGCTAAAAATATATATTCTAAACATGTTAAATTTAAAATTCAGTGAGGATGTATCATAGATAGGTGACAATTGTCATAATCGCTATTTTTGAACTTTTTCAAATTTTTTTAAAGGAAATAGCTAAAAATATATATTCTAAACATGTTAAATTAAAAATTCAGTGAGGATGTATCATAGATAGGTGACAATTGTCATAATCGTTATTTTTGAACTTTTTTAAATTTTTTTAAAGGAAATAGCTAAAAATATATATTCTAAACATGTTAAATTTAAAATTCAGTGAGGATGTATCATAGATAGGTGACAATTGTCATATTTGTTATTTTTGAACTTTTTTAAATTTTTTTAAAGGAAATAGCTAAAAATATATATTCTAAACATGTTAAATTTAAAATTCTAGAATATATATTTTTAGCTATTTCCTTTAGAAAAATTTGAAAAAGTTCAAAAATAGCGATTATGACAATTGTCACCTATCTATGATACATCCTCATTGAATTTTAAATTTAACATGTTTAGAATATATATTTTTAGCTATTTCCTTTAAAAAAAGTGAAAAAAGTTCAAAAATAACGATTATGACAATTGTCACCTATCTTTGATACATCCTCACTGAATTTTTAATTTAACATGTTTAGAATATATATTTTTAGCTATTTCCTTTAAAAAAATTGAAAAAAGTTCAAAAATAAAGATTATGACAATTGTCACCTATCTATGATACATCCTCACTGAATTTTAAATTTAACATGTTTAGAATATATATTTTTAGCTATTTCCTTTAAAAAAATTTAAAAAAGTTCAAAAATAACGATTATGACAATTGTCACTTATCTATGATACATCCTCACTGAATTTTTAATTTAACATGTTTAGAATATATATTTTTAGCTATTTCCTTTATAAAAATTTGAAAAAGTTCAAAAATAGCGATTATGACAATGTCACCTATCTATGATACATCCTCACTGAATTTTTAATTTAACATGTTTAGAATATATATTTTTAGCGATTTCCTTTAAAAAAATTGAAAAAAGTTCAAAAATAAAGATTATGACAATTGTCACCTATCTATGATACATCTTCACTGAATTTTAAATTTAACATGTTTAGAATATATATTTTTAGCTATTTCCTTTAAAAAAATTTGAAAAAGTTCAAAAATAGCGATTATGACAATTGTCACCTATATATGATATATCCTCACTGAATTTTAAATTTAACATGTTTAGAATATATATTTTTAGCTATTTCCTTTAAAAAAATTGAAAAAAGTTCAAAAATAACGATTATGACAATTGTCACCTATCTATGATACATCCTCACTGAATTTTTAATTTAACATGTTCAGAATATATATTTTTAGCAATTTGCTATAAAAAAAGTTCAAAAATGTCGATTATGACAATTGTCACTTATCTATGGTACATCTTCACTGAAATTTTTATTTGACATGTCTACAATATATATTTTTATCTATTTCATTTAAAAAAGTTCAAAAATAACCATCATAACAAATGGCTCTTTTCTATGGTACATCTTTACTTAAAAATTTTAAAAAATAACTATGATGGAATAGTTAAATCAGAGCGTTATAATTTAAAGAAGCTTTAAGAAACTTTCCCGCCTATAATATTAATATCTACTAAATGTTATTTGACTTTTGGTCGAAAAAAATGATCTAGATATTTGGTTAGGTGAAAAAAAGCAACCCTAACTTTAAGACGTCTTTAAAAAAACGATCCATATTTTGGGTCGGAAACGACCCGATGTTTGAGTCTGAGTCAGAAAAACGACCCAAACTTTGAGTTGGAGTCGAAAAATACGATCTAAACTTCAAGTTTGAGTCGAAAAATACGACCCAAACTTCAAGTTGGAGTCGAAAAATACGACCCAAATTTCAAGTTTGAGTCGAAAAATACAACCCAAATTTTGAGTCGGAGTCGTAAAAAACGACCCATATTTTGGGTCGAGGTCGTTTTTTTCGGCTTGGACTTGGGTCGGAGTCGAAAAAAACGACCCATATTTTGGGTCGAAGTCGTTTTTTTTGGCTTGAACTCGGGTCGAAGTCGTAAAAAACGACCAAAACTTTGAGTTGGAGTCGAAAAAAACCACCCAAAATTTGGGTGAGCTCTGTTCGAGCCGACTCGGCTAAGCCGATTAACAACACTAGTCCCAAACATAAAAAAATATATTCGATATATAACTTTGACGTAAATCTTCAATAAAGTTTAAAAACTCTTATTATTAAAAAATTATATTAAAAATTTTATCAAAATGTTTTTACAATAATTATGGAAAGTTATTTAACTATACAAGAATGTTTTTTCACATTATGAAAATGTGTTACAACAAATCATATTAATACTGTATATCACATTAATTAAAATTGGATTATATTCACTATAAATCCATATTAATTAAAAATGAACCAACACATGTCCATCTTTTTAAAGGCTCCAATTGTTATATATTATATATAAAAAAATAATTTTAAAACAAAAATCTAATTTTATATATTTTTTTATAAAATACCCATTAGACAAATTTATATCTTTACCATATTTAATTTATAATCATTAATTTTACATTCAAACTTTTATTTTGTATATATTCTTATAACAGATTTTCCACTTTTACCACAATACTCAATATAAATTCTCTACTTCCGAACCTTCATAATTCCAATAAATTCCCCTTTTTCTGAATTTTATATTTTATTTAAATAAATTTTAAATTAATAACCCTTTAAAAAAACTTAAATTTATTAAATAACCCTCCCCTTAGTTAAAACAACTCTCTATATACATATGAAATCCTGACTTAAATTTAAACAAATTTTATTTTTATTTCATTAAAATGACAATAAAAATATCCAGCCCTTCAACTTTTATTCTAGTTAAAAAATCAGAAATCCATGTCTTTTTAATTACATTATTTCACATATATTTATAGACTCATTAACTTCTCATTAAACTTGAATAAGGGTATTATACATTTAACAATATTTAAGGGTCTCTATTCTTGTCATTTACTTTTATCAATATCTAATTATATTTTTTTATCCCTTAATTTATAAATTAAAAGTTTCATTTGTTTAAAGAAAATTATCTTTCGTTGTGTTTATTTACAATATCATTTTCTTATTTAACCTTCCCACACATTAACCCATTTTTTTATTGGTCTGACATTCAAATTGTTAAGTTAAGAATTTACATAAGATATTTATTTCTTTATTGGTTTCAAATTAATACAAAAAGTTAAAAGTCAAGAAAAATATAAAAAACTGTGTAAGAATTTTTTTTATAAACAATATATATAATGATTGACATTTAATATAAAATATATATAGAACATTATTTTTAACTAATTACAACACTTATGAGCTTTTTTAAAAAATTTGGGCTACAAGGCATCCAAGCTGTGCTGAGCCTAGATCTAAATAAAAAATTATCAAGCCACGGGCTCAGGCCAAAAAATTTGATTTTGAGGTCTTATATACTAAACTTTTGCTAGCTTAAAAATCATCTTGTTTAAAAACTAAAAAGAAATAATATAACCATATTCCTTGTAATAATTAAATAGTTTGTATTTCTGAAGTGATTTTTATGGTATTATTACGTTTTAATTTTTTTGTGAATTTACTGGCGGATCAGAATAAGTTTCAAGCCTTAAATACCGATTTGGATATTGTTGATTGTGATAGATATATGCATTCATTATTAAATTTGACAGTAAAAAATTTCAACCACTTAGTTAAGTTGTAGACCATTTTAATTTTGCTACAGGCATTGTTCCTCAATTTGTTGGATAATTTTATACGGGCTATAAAATAATGTTGACTCCATCTTAACTAGAGCCCTGTACAGACTAGTGAAAGGTCCGGTCCCATCTGCCTTAAACCAGATTAGACCGATCTTTTTTCGAGGACCACAGTCCGGCCCTGTCTTTAAATTTTTCTCCAGTCTGGACCGAATTTTTTATTAATATTTAATTTTGCCTTATTATTCAATTCATATAATTTTAATAGTATAATTTCTGTATATATATTATTTTGTAATACTTTTATAGAGGGGTTACTTTTGTTTTTGTGATTCTTTTTTATTTTGCAATATATTATGAAAACGAAATGTTTGTCAAAAACGCATTTTATTTTTTAATTAAATAATTGTAATATTTAATATATTATTATTTTATTTGATATTGTTAACATAAAATACTTTTATATTTAATAAAATCATAAAATAGGAATTAAATTAGGGGAAAACTGGAATATTTTTAAAATAACAAAAAAAAATTAAAAACCGGTCCTGGACTAGTCTTCTTATTTAGGACCACATCTGGACCGATCTTTTATTTAATCCCGGTCTATGCGTATAGGTCCGGTACTAAATGCGCTTTGCGACTTTCACTAGTGCGGACCTGAGGTTTTAAAATTATCGGATATTTTGGACGGAGGGCTACGGATCTTAAACCAATACGTAACAAATTAAGACCTCCCTCCTAACCAAATAAAGTATTGCAATTTGTTAAATTGAAAATAATATAGGCATATCAGGCATCTTCGACTCCTAACATACCTAAAGCTGCCCACAAAGGAAATAGGGAAACCAATCACCCATCGATAGCGTCTCCGATGTGAGTACATATATATAACAAAATTTAGATTTATAATTATGAAATAATTATAAAATATGCTGCCAACAATTTTTTGATATCAGTATATAGTCAAATCACCTAATTTTAGCCAACTTAAAAATAACTTGTTCAAGTTGTTATCCTAATAACATTGGCTCGATATTTAAGCAATTTAAGATTTTCTGATGAAAACATGGCTAAACCACAAATGGGTATGGCTATAAAAAGAAAAATGGATGCTCTTTATAATGAGTTGCGCAAGAGCAACCTCCACAAAAAAATCTAAATACGAATCCGTGTGTATAAGTTTTTCCTTTCATTTTTATTAATTAATACCTACCTTTGATTTTGTATCGCGATAAAAGTTATTTGGATAATAATTTATCTTTATTTTACTTCCTAAATATATTTATAAATTTAGACCTAAAATCGGTGGCATAAAAAGAAAAATCGAATTGAATGATTATAACGAACAAGATGATAAATCTTTCGAAAAGCCTCCAACTATTAATTTAAAATTGAGGGAGATTTTAAAATACGGGCGCGACGATCTAACGCTAAATAATGGCCATCATTTTGGCGAAGAAAACGAACAGCTGCTCAATAATTTGTTACAAATCAAGATATTAAACCATTTCATTTCAACCAGGAACTCACCTATAAGATATATGTATCAAAATCTCAATACCAACTGCCAAAGTTAATATATTATTTATCTTGTTATTATAGCATATTGCGAAAATCTTCTATTTATACCAGATTTAAAAAATTTCAAATTAATTTATATTCTAAAGCGTTACTTTTTTTCCTAATTCTCTTTAACTGTTAAACTTATAATTTTTCAATATTTCCGATTATTTTGTTGTCGATTTTTTGCAATTACAACTTCCATTTATTTTAATTTCCTACCCTCGGCGAGTTTATTTACCAATAACGAGGGTATACTTTAGTAGTTATCTCATAATATATCATTTAGAACTTAAGGTATATCATCCACGAAACCATAACCTAAGCGCTATAATTAAATCTCAAAAGGAGAGAATCAAACCGTTATAGTTATTTTTGAACCTCATAACGGTTTTTAAAATTATATTTATTTTAATTTAATAAAAACCTTAAAAAAATAGTAATAAATTTATGATTATGGTTATGTTACTTAATTTGTAATTTCTTATTCATGCTTTATAAAAAATAAAGAAATTCAACTATATTTTCTTTTTTTGTTTGTTTTAAACCAGGGATGTGAACCCGGACCCTGGACCCTCGTATTTTGGCTGAACCCGGACCCTTTTAAAAAGTGAAGGGTCCAAGGGTTCAGGGTGTTAAAAATTTTTAACTTAAAATTTTTTTTTTAAATTAATGTAAAAATATAATTTTTAAAAAATAATATAAAATTTTTGTAATTTTATTTATTTTTAAAAAATAATGTAAAATTTTTATAATTTTATTTATTTTTAAAAAATAATGTAAAATTTTTATAATTTTATTAATTTTTTTCGTGGAATCTCCCTAAAAAATAGTCACTTTAAAACTATAATTGATAAAGCAAGGGATGTTGTAAAATATTTAAGAACTCCCACAATTGTTAATATTAAAATCCATGAAAAGGTAAATGGCAATTTTAGATTGCACAACACGTTGGTCCTCTATATGTATGATGCTAGAGCGATTATTAAGTTTGAAAGATTTCTGTAATGATTTTATCATAGGAGCATGTGAAATCATTTTGTCAGAAGATGATTGGAATCAAGTAAAAGAGCTTACTAGTGTGCTGGTTCCTTTAAAAATAACAACATTAAGAGTGCAAGCAGAACAATTATGTTTATCGGATTTTTATGGCATATGGTTAAGATGTCGATTAGAGTTAGGGAGATTAACAAGTTCTTTTTCAAATGAAGTATTAGAAAATACGAAAATAAGAGAGCAACAATATTTACAAAATAGTGTTGTATATGCTTCTATATATTTAGACCCGCGATATCAGGTTTTATTAAGTAGTGAGCAAAAACAAATGGCTATAGACCATCTTGAAGATTTATGGCATACCCAAAACTATTATTTACAATACATTGGTGGTTACAACAATATCTACGGGTTGTAGCGATAACAATGATAATGATAACGATATTGATGATCTGGAAATTTTACTATTAGATAAAAAAAAAAATTATCATCTGATAGAAAGGAGCAAAAAATATCAACGTGGATTTTCATCGTTGACTAATTTACATGGAAATCTGAAGGATGATATTTTAGAAGATATCATGATTGTGCAATTGAATAAAATATTTAAAATATAAATTATCTCATTTCGAATTATAAATGTGTATATATTGAAGTATAATAAAAAATGAATGAAAAAAGTATTAATTTGAGTCATTATTTTTATGTTTCCTCTGGACCCGGGTCCTTTTTAAATTTATTACTGAACCCGGACCCTTTTTTTGTCGAAGGATTCACATCCCTGTTTTAAACACTTAAAAAATATTATTAGATAATTTTGGGGCAATTTAAAAAAAATCAAAATCTCCAAAACAACCTATATATTGTCAAAAATAGGGGGAATTTAACAGAACCCATTTAATTATAAACTCAGGACAGGAATAGAACCGAATCATCATACATAACGATTCATTCTAAACCATGTCTTAAATGCGTTTAACAAGTTTAAAAAATGAAACTTCACGGATAAAGAAATATTAGTTTTTAAAATTATTAAATATCAAAAAAAATTTGCACATTTTTAACATCTGTTTATTGAAGCAGTGCTAAAATTATGTAAACCTTTTATTATTATTTTTTTCTTGGTTTGACCTTAACATTTAAGTTATCGAAGGTTTTATGGTGGATACCGCCAACGACATTTTAGCTTCTCTTAGCAGCGACGACCTCCAACTGACAAATATCGCAAAGACGGAAAAAACAAACGAAGAAAATGTCGCGCTTGTAGAATTAGAAAATGAGTCATATAACGACATCGAAAATGATATAAATAAGGGAAAAGACATCCTCAATAAAACTCAAAATTACTTTAACTCTTTCACGACGAATTGTGCCGAGGATATATTGACATACGGTCAAATTTTGAACGCCAACTGTGAACACGAACACCCGGGTTATACTAATTAGATATATGCAAAGTTAAGCCCGGCCTGAAGGGGCTTCGGGCCGGGCCTTATATTTTTAAAAAAAATTCGGGCCGGGTTGGGTCGGTTTTTGGAATTTTTTTTAAATATATCTAAATTTATCAATTATATATTGAATTTTTTATGTTAAATTAAAATATTTGATTTTATTCATTGTAACTAAGACATATATAATGTCTTTTATTTTGAGTAATTATAAAAATTAATTTCTATATTTAAATAAATTCGGGCTGGGTCGGTAAATTTTTTTAAAAAAAAATCTGGTTAGGGCCGGGCCGGCAAAACTTTTTTAAAAAAAATTTTGGGCCAGGCCGGGCTTGAAAAATTAGGCCCGATGCAGATCACTAATACTAATAACAATATAGGCGACAATCTTGTTTTTTTCGACGCCCATGCAAAATCCAAGAACACCAAAGACTCGATAACTCATAACAATAATCTAAATACGAATACGGTTAAAATGGCAACAAGTGGAATCATATTAAGGGGGAGTAGGGAATTGTGCAATGGATCCTGTATTAAGCTCGACGTTACATCGCGATTAAAGGAATATTCCATTTTTCCAGGCCAGGTTTTTTTAAAACATTATATTTTTTTATCCGCTCATAATAATATAAATTCCTGGTTGCGGGTCAATTCAAATAAAAGGATATCATGCTTACTTGTAGAATGTTGTGAGAAGTTTGCAATCTGTATTGCTTTAACTATTAATATCTGAGATATGAGGCTTTCAAAGCTTAGAATTGTGATCATTTTTAACTTTGTGAAACGCAAAAAAATTTAAAAATAGTAAAACTAAAGACCTATGTATTTAATATCATTAGATGCCTCGAACCTTTAAAAAAATATTCATGGAGACAATGATATTATACCAAATTTCTTCTCATTAAAAGATTGTGGTGAATGTCCTGGATTTTAAAATATATAAAAATATGAAATGAATGTTTTCCAGTGGATAAGAACTAGGTTAGAAAAACGCTTAAACAAATCTTGAATCGATTTTTGTTATAAATCCTCTGGGATAAAATTGCTGAGACTTATCATTATCTGATACAACAAATCTACCTCTTTGCATAACAAAAAGAATAAATTTGTGATTTTTCAGTTAATTATCGCCTCCGTCTCTTACAAAGCAAAGCTCAGTATGTAACAATATCCCAAGAAACAGGGTTAAATTAAAAAAAATTTCAGAGTCGGGCGGGAGAATTATAAATATTTTACTAGCTGAATAAGCAGAAGCATGACTGGCTTATATTTAAAAAAATAAATTTAATTTAAAATAAATAAATATATATATATTTAAATAAATAAAGAGACAAACTAACCAATCAAAATATTTTTTAAAAATTGGCCGGTCAAATAAATTATATAAATAAAGACTAGCAGCGAGACGTCTAATGCGTTTGTTACTATTTTGAAAAAAAGATGTCCAATTCGTTTAAATATTGTGTTTTATTTTAAATTCAATTTTAGCCAAAAGGTTATTCTTATTTTTCGTAAATCATAATCTAATTTACCTTGTAAGACACCATTGTGGATGCATGTTTACAACATTTTTGGAAACATTTTTAAAAATTTTCTAATCATATTGTTTAAAAGAAAAATGTAACAATAACATTTTGGGTTGATTACGAATTCCTTAACAAGAAACAAATTTTATAATATTAAACCAAATTTTTCAGAACAAAATATTGTTTTTATTTGGTTATATAATTTGTAAAAGATTTTAAAAATTTTGAGAATCAATTGCTTATAAGGTCAAAGACATGAAATGCAAAATAGAAAAAAACATGGTATTATTCTTATATATTATTGAAAATTGGGGAAGGTTCGAAATTCTTAATTTGAGGATGCTTATCAGGGATATTGAAGAAATCTCCTCCATTTTAAACTTTTTTTAAAAAAAAAGCTCTAAATTGGAATATAAGTGTATTTCTTACATATACAATCTACCAATATTATCTTCGAGAATACATAAGAAATATTCCCTGCTTTGCTGGAGTTTTAGGTTGGGAACCTATCCATCGGTCCTAGTTAACTGAAATCTAGTTTACACCCCTTTTAAGTTAATATTGTCTGTGGGACTATTTTTAGCCGTTGTCTTAAATTAAAATGAAATGTCTGAGGATTCGGCCAATTAGAATAATAAAAATATTTTTAAAACCCGCTGACATGCCTATAAATAAGGACACCATTGCAGGTCTATTTTATTTTAAAAATATTCACACAACTATTTTGAACCGGTTTTAAGATGTTGGATTTGATGGAAAACGGTTAATTTGCATTTTGATAAAGACGCTCGGATCAAATAGAACCCTAAAAAAAATTGTTTTAAAATTCATTCAAATATTTTTTACTATTGTTATTAACTATTATAGATAATGGCTTTGAAGGGCAATACTGCGAATGGGAGGAGTCGATTCATGGTACAAGATATATATTATCCGTCCATTCCTAAACCTGACATCATTCCGGAAATGGATGGTTTATCCAAGAATTTGAACATCTTAGTTTTCGGTTCACCTTTTACTCACCCGACTCAAAACCTAGATTTTGAGCCACTCCACGATTCACTTGCCTTGATATTGTCAGATAAAAGGCCGGATATATGCATAATGGTAACATGTTTTAATATTCGTTTTATATGATATATAACAGAAACCGTAATTTAGGTAGTGGTTAGTAAAAGTATTAGCTAATACTTTCAATTTTAACCACTACAAGATACTTTAAAAAATAATTATCTAAATGAAAAAGTGATTTTATCCTAATTTCGATTATAAAGTAAAGAAGAATGATAGTGCTTTTATTTTTTTTATAGATTTAGATAGATGATAAAATAATAATATTACATATGATATCTTAGCTTCCTTTTTCCCAATAAATCCTACATAATAATTTATACCTTTTTGATATTGATATCGGTGGAAAACAGCTGATATCGGCTTATCTCGTAAGGCTTTTTCAAAAATTATTCCAATTGATTCGGAATTTATGAATAACCGATTTCATTAGCTTATTTGATTTTAAAGAAAAGATTTAGCATGCCTCCCTCCGAATTTTTAAAAAAAGGAGATATATGGTCTTCATACCTTATTCAGAATAAGACAGCTTTCACATATAAATATATAGCTTTTAGTTATTATTAACTGAGATTTTTCTATAAGTTTCCAGAGCAAAAATGATTTCGATTCGAGCCCGGCCAGGCAACCTATGCAAAGTATTTTAATGAGCCTGGCTTGAGTTTATCAAAAGGCTTAAAATTATGCAAATTTATGAATCTTTCCTTCATAAAAAAATCCTTCATAGGTAGGTAATAAGGACACAAAGAAATATGTAATGTTAAACGTTTACTTTAAAAATTTAATTGATTAAATGTCCGTGAAATTAAACTAGTTATAGGCCAAAGTTACTATTTTTTTAAAACTTACTGCAACAGTTAATATTTCTCAGAATGGTATCGATAATAAATTAAATTTAATAAACACTAATATGGACATTTTGTTTTTTAAATATTAAGTCTTATCATACCTTGAATCAATATTCTGCTTTCCAGCGATCCGTATTGCCTTAGCGTCTGAAAATTTTATTTGGGCCAGGCCCCGCAAAAATTTCTCTTGTATATTTTAATGGATTCTGATATTTCATAGAAGTGATAATCCATAACCTATAGTTAGATTATAAATAGTTGTTTATTTTGGTGTTCAACAACATATATTTTGGTTTAGGCCTTGTATTTTTGAAAAAAAATAAAAACCAGACTGGGCAACCTTGGTAAAAAAAAATTTAGGCCGGGCATTTATTATAATTATACACTATAAAAAAACTCTAACCGTTATTGTGAATATACTATAAAAACTATATTAGTAGTACAACGCCATTTTATAACTCACATAGTTAACCAACACAATTCTAAAACTAAAATTAATAAATTTTCAACTCCAAATTTTATTGATTAAATATATTTTAAAAAACAAAAAGTTATAATAATTATAAAATCTAATCCCTTTTATACTTTTTTGGGCAAAGAGATCACGAGTTCTACACGTGATATATAAAATCAGTCGACTATTTATAAATTTGATAAATATTAAACAAAATAATTTTAAATAATGATATGACAGCATTAACCAAATTCTCACTAGGCTAGGTCTGAAAATTTTACCATTACAGACCTCTTCTAGTTGCACTGTTTTAAGCCTAATTAATTATATTTTTTATTGATAATAAATCATCTATAATTTATGGTTTACTGATTGTCAACATTATTTTTAGATTGGTCCTTTCATTGATAACAAGCATCCTATAGTTGAGGTAAAATTATTGATAAATTTATGAAAAACAAAAACACATATTTTGATCTTGAAAGATTTTTATGCATAAAAATAACAAAATATTTACTTAAAAAGATTGACATTTTTAAGTAAAATTCGATAAACCTTTCTTTAAAAAAATGATTTTTTTTCAAACTCTGAATAAAATAATATTAGTAATTAAAAAAATGCTTTAAGCATATATGGTTTATTCTAGACTTGTATTCTTTAAAGTCTAGTGTATAAAAATTAATCAATATTTTATTATACTTATAGATCATTTCAATTATAGGGCTAAACCGATCCACAATTTTTTCACCGATCGTATCCGATATTTATTTCAAACGACACCTATACCGATATATACATTTTTATGCCATTATTTTATATAATTTAAGATAATGGAATAATAAAAATTGGCGTATGAATTTTTTTATAAAGGCGTTTTAGAATATTTATAAAAAAATCTAAAAGCTTTAAAATTTTTAAAATATACTTTAAATTTGTAGAAAGGTTTGAATTTATAAGATATATAGAAATAATGTTTTAGATTATAGCCCTTAAAGAATAATTATACAGTCATTACGATATGATTTATGTTGATTACAATTTTCACTTACTTATTTTAGCCTTAATACAAATAAGATTAATAGATGCTAGGGAAGTAAACACGTCTATTTAAATTCAGTTTTTTATAAAAATCGCCAAAAATGCAGGAAAAAATATCATTATTCCGAATTAGCAATTTATAACTTATCCCCTTAAGATCTAGAAAATTATATTTTGAATGCCCAACACATATTATTTGTTATATTTTACGCGGTCTAAAGCTAGGAAATAAAAGTTTGTTGCAGTTCCTAAAATTTTGAAAAATGGGTTTTGCTAAATTTGAAGCAGTTTTCCTGATAAATAAGGGAGATCTTATTTGATCCAATCTCCCCCCACCTATAATAATCTCCCCTTGCACTCTTAGAATCTTGCTAAGGATCAGAAAACTCTCTTGACTTTTAATTAATCGAATATCATTCTATTTTGTTTATAATACGATACAATTGAATTTAGATGTAATATGTTATCTCATAGGCGTATCCAGGATTTTCCTATACAAGGGGGGGGGGGGGTTATTAGGTATGTTTTTTCTACATATATTGGAGGTCTTTAGGTTCACTTATTATAGACCTTTGCCAATACCTGATTTTTATAAAAATAATTTTGGGCTCTCACTTGTTTTATAAAATATTTAATTATCTTCGTTATTTTAAAAACTAAATTTTTACAAATTATTCTTTTAGAGTGATATATTGTATATATTTTTGGGGTAGAGGTGTGTAGGGGGAAATTTTTATTGGCTTAAAATGGTATTTACGAAAACAGACAAATTTGCGATCGGTGGATTTCCTCCTTTTATTATATATAGTATATATTTTTTGACAATAATTAACTTGTTAGAATTACAAATTTCAAAATAACGATAATACCGCCGATATGACGTTCGAAGAAATATTTGTACAAAAAATTTTAGCCTTCATATATAGCTACGTCTTAAAATCAAAGAACAATACCATAAAGTTCTTATTGGTTTCATCTTACAGGGACGTATTTCAAAGATTCGATGTTTATCCTACCCCGTCCTATAATATTGATCTGCATCAACATCAGCTCTCGGATATCGAAAATAATGTTTATTTATATATTATTATACTATATGTCATTTAGGATTATTCAACTCTTTTTTGGGTCATTCCATATCAAATGAGCAAAAAAGGAGATTTTATTCCGACTCCCTTCGATTTTTAAAAATTTGGTAAGCAAAGGTTAGTTAACCTCATAACATTTATTTAGGGTTCAAAGTGGCAAAATGACGTATTTTTACTATTATTTGCCTTCATCAAAAAACTCATAATTGTAAAAGAAATTTAATATGACCTTCAATTTTTGTAAAAATTTAGTAGCATTACTACGAAGGCCAATATTTAATTTTATATGATTTTTTAGAATTTTATAGCTTTATACTTCAGGATGAAGTACAATTTTTGTTATTTATTGAAGATAATTTTGCCAATATTTGTTGCCTAAATTACGTAATGATATCCGAATCTTTGCAACATAAGACAGTAGCAGTATATTATTTCCAAAAAACATTGGTAATAAATTTTGTATTCCAAATAAAAAAATTTATTATATTTGCCGATGGATTTCGGGGTACAGGAAATATGATATTTTTTGCTACAGCACACTGGAAAAGTGTGATGAGGTTGTTGCACTGTTAAAAGATTTGACTCTAGAGCAAGTTTACAAATACCTTACTCAGAGCAAATAACATCATCATACGAATTCGCTAAATATAATATTAATGGCTTATAATATGACCCAAAATTATGATGATGAAGAACTATTACTCAGAGAAAGATTTTCAAAAACTAGACCGATACCTGCAACACAGAAAATTCACACCATGATTCCGACTGGTCTACATCAATTTAGAAGTAAAATATGAATTCAATAAAATGCACTAAATAATATTTATCATATAATGATGAAAGTATAATCTTGGGAGAAATATCAGGATACATAAGTGTGTCTATGATAATTGGTGGCTAGCCCTTATTTTAGGAAAAATCAAAAGCAGGAGGAAATATATATAAAGTTTTTACACTCATCCGGACCTTCTAATTCATTTACATTTCTAAGTATAGATGACGCTCTTTACTGCTAAAATATCATATCCTAACATTCACCGTTAACTGCTACTGGCCATGGTTATACATTGTCATCACAAAAAAGTAAATGCGCTATCGAAAAATTAGAATCTTTGTGAGTTATATATTATATTTTTAAATTTAAATTATAGGCGCCATATGAAATGCAAAAGATTCTGATTCATATATTCTAGAAATCTAAACTTGGTTGAACATGTTTTATTAATATTCATTAAATATATGTTATATGAGCAATTAATTTTATAATAAATTATAAATAATGTAATAAATTGAATCTTTTATCGATAGACAATTTCTATAATTGATTGAAATCCCCATTTATTGTAATTTTCACTTACAAGATGAAGAATTATTTAAATTATATCAAATAGTTCAAAAAAACTATTAAAAACTGATTAATATATAATTTTTACACTTTTTATTTATTTTTATCTATTTTGAGAATGAAGCTTGCATCTCACCAATTTTTTTTATTAATATAAAGGAAGATTTTACTAAATTTTTTATAAAAATTCGTTTTTAATTATTTTTTAAATTCTTAGTATCAAATTGAGATATTAATTAAGTTAAGAAATTAAGTTACAAAAATAATTAACTATATCGAATGGATTGCTTTGTTAAAATTTAAGAATATGTTTCATCGCTATATATATTTATAATTTCTTATTGCAATGATCACATATAACAATTTTCCATGTCTGGCTTTTTACAAAAATACAATTTTCTCCTTACATAATCATAATTAGACATCATCATTAATTTATATCGTCTGATTTTTCTACAAAGAATTATAATTTTCTCATTACATCATATATAATTAAACATCAATTCATGAATATCTTATTTTTATTCAAAGAAATTATAAAGTATTCAAATTTAAATTATAAAAACATTTTAAAATATATTTTTAAAAAACTATAGCCAAGGAACTCTCAACAGTTATTATGTATTAATAAAATGGCCGGAAAGGGAAAAATCAAAAAAATTTTTTTTTATCTAAATGTATAATCTTTGGACATAATTTTGATATTAAATTTCTTATTTTTTTTAAGTGATATATACTTTATTAATAAAAATATTTAATACATTGAACGTTAAAAGTAAAACATATTACGTAATTTAAAAATATATATATATTAAAAATGTCATGTAAACTATAAAATCTATATAAAAAACTGTATAATAAAAAAATAAATAATTAGAATAGTAAATTGTATGTTGGGTGGCAGGAGGTCAAGAAAGAGAGCCATGGATGGCAATGCAGTTAGATCTGCATATATCAATAGATATGCGCTGTCTGAGATAGAAGCCTTCCTGAGGATCACCAGTGATGGCGCGGATTTTTTTACCGAGGGTTTTGAAGAAGGTTAGGGCATGATTGCCAAAAGACCCGGTTGTGTCGGATACGATTGGTATGAGATTGCAATTTGTTAGGGAAGTGTATTTATTAATTTTCGAGTTTTCAGCTCGCATGAATGAGTTCTTATTAAAGGAGGGAGCAAATCGGTCGATGCAGGTATAGTCCCATGCTAATGGAATTCCATTATTGTAGTTTTTAAGATATGCTTAATTGAATGAAGGCAAATAATGGTAAAAATACATCATTTTTGCCACTTTGAACCCTAATATCCCCAAAAAATACATTTGAAGGCTAAATTTTGCTTTTCTTTCCTTACCAAATTTTAAAAAAATTAAAGGGGGGCCAAATCGTGGTTGATTTATCATGACCCATTTTATCTCTAATTAGATACTAGTGAAGGTCACGGTCCGGTCTTTAGTCCGGACTGGACCGATACCCTCGGACCGGCCCACGGTCCTTAAGAAAAAGATCGATCCAGACCGTGGTCCTAAATAAAAAGACCGGTCCTGGACCGGTCTTTTTATTTGTTTGTTTTATCATTTTATTAAATATGAGAGTATTATATAAACAATAAAATTTATCCAATGGTATTGAAAAAAATGATTTTGTGCTTGTAGAGGGCATATTAAAATTAAGAGTAGATTGTGTTTTTTGAGATATTTTCATCATTAGAAGTATATATTTTATGTTTTATCAGATGTCTGCTTAAGGTACCTAATTATTTTATTAAGAATAAGGTTAAGTAATTTTTACAATAAATTATACAGACAGTTTCTTTAAAAATAATAGAACTATATAATAACTAAAATATTTTAATAATATTATTGCTTATTTTGATTAATTTATTGCTTAAAAAATTATAAAGTAAAGCAAACTTAAACAATAATAAAAGACCGGTCCGGACCGCGGTCTGGACCATTTAAAATAAAAAGACCGGTCCGGACCACTTTCCTCAAGAAAAAGATCGGTCCGATCCCGGTCTAAGACCGATAGGACAGGACCGTTGACCTTCACTATTAGATACCTATGGGTATATGCAGATATTTTATTTAAAAATGAACTAGTCAAGTATTATGTATTATTAACTTTAAAGTTAAAATAGACGACTCTTTTCCCCCATCATTTTGGGGATATTCACCAGAGTTATTGAAAGACACTTTTCAAATGGATCTAGACACAGATACATTGTCTAAAAAGGAATTTAGATGCAAATATGTTGTCTAAAAACGAATCTAGATAATGTGTCTGTATACCGACACAATATTTATTATACTTATATACAGAGTTTCTCGTTGTTTTTGAATAGAAACTCTTATTATGAGAGTAGAAAATATGTAAACAACATTTTTATATTTTGTTTTATTCAATTCGAACATCATATAAAAATAATAATGTAAATACCCCTATTTTTATCGTCATTTCGAACAAATTTTTAAACGAGGATTTTTTAAAAAAATATTTTTTACAGTAAATTTATCGCTTATTCATTAAGCCGGCGGAATATCTGAAATTATTTTATAAATCTAAATAAATTTATTTGCTTAATAATTTTGTGCATCAAGGTATTGTTTTTAATAATTAATGAGCGTCATAATTTATTTAAAATATATGCTCATATGAAATAAAATAGGTTTTGCATTCAAATTTTTTATTTTAATATAAAAAACGCCATAAATAAAAGTATATCAAAATCTTAAAAATATCTAAAAATAAATAGACAACTCTAAAATAGTATATAGATGCAGATACGTCATTTTTTAATAACTATGATATTCATTAATAATTTAGTTGACAAATAATTATATTTATTCATTAAGGTAATGTTTTTACCAGATCCATGTATTCTAAACATAAATGGCATAATCATAGCTCTCTCTTCGACTGACACTTTATTCCACCTTAGTTGCGAAGAAATTTCCTTGTAAATTTTCTTTCATGTTACGTTTATAGTAAGCCCGATTCTCTCAAGCGATGCCAAATTTTTCACCAGGTAATTTACATAATCAAGCCAATAAAATGTATAATATAAGCGAAGCAATTAAATAGCAACAAATGTTTACATATATTTTAAAAAAATATTATCACTGTGACGAATCAGCTATGATTTGGCTAGCGATTAATATCGCTTGAGCGAATCGCGATTACTATAAACGCAGCATCATTTATATATATTTTTTAAATTATCAGTCGACAATAATAATCTAAGAAAGTTGTTTCTTTGCGTTTTAAAAATCCATTCTATATTTTTTGAATGCATATTCTATAAAAGTTTTGACGTTATGATTTAGATTTATATATTAATAATTGTATAAAAATGTATCAGCTGTTATTCGATAAAATAAAATTATATTAAAGGAACAAGTTTTGGCTGCTTATCTTTTAACGTGACAATTTTTTTAACCCTTTTAATTAGCAGCTTGAAAAATGTATGCCCGACCAAGCTGTTGCCTTATAAATAAGTATTTCGAACTTTTATTTATTTTTAGTTACCCGGAAACCACAACGGATAGAATGGGGAGACTTGTTAAACATATAATATCGCATAAAAGGTATTCACCTTCAAATTTATTATTCTGAAAAAACTATAATTAGCCTCGGTATAGAATTTAATCGTAATTTAACGATTAATAATTTTCAAAATAATGGCGAGGTTGTCTGTTTAAAGCATTATTGTAATATATTAAGCTTTTAGAAAACTCGTCTGTTTTTATAAAAAGTATAAAATTTACCAAAATGCTCGGTAAATTTTTATATTGTTATAAATGACTATCTTAAAAATGAAAATAGTTTAGAATTATAATGAAAAAAAATGTAATAAATAAAATTTAGCAATCATCCTCCGAAGTTAATGATCACTAATTTCTAATAAGTTAACACTACTCAAATTTGTGATTTGAGGATCTTTTGCCTAATAATTTTTAAGAGAATATTAGCTTCTTTGCCGAATGAACATAATGTTGAAACTCAATATAATAAATCTACACTAAAATCAGACGAGATTAACAATTCATAATTTTTTTAATATCATGTCGGCCATTTGTTTTATTAAAAATATTCGGTTATCGGCATAAAAAATTTTTATTTTTTAAAAATTAATTAGATATATCAAAATAATTAATAAATAAAAAAATTTAAATTTCTATAAATATTCTAAGCCTTTTATCTAATAAAATGTAATAAGAAAAAATTATTGATATATTTTTGGTTTAATAGATTCAACGGCTGTACTGGAGTTATGCTAAAATAATTTATCAGCTATTATAAAGTAAGAAATATTTTGAAAAATTTCATCAAAAATTCTGTATCCGTTATAAATAAGATTAATTAAAATTTATTATGCAGTCAAAATACTCGCAATAATTTATCATTAAATTATTTGATTTTTTAATTGATTCCCTTTTATAATAAAGTAAATAATTATATTTGTCTGAAGCATAGATGTCATTGCAACTATCTCCACTTTGTTCCGTAAGCTGCATTTTATATCATTCCTGTTCTCTCCAAGTAAAGGTCAATGAATTCTCCCAGAAACCCCTCCATCTACTCTAGCATATCTTTGCTCCTCGTAAAGAAAATGACAAATTTCTATACTTATACATGTATAATAATGATTAACAATATAATTTATTGTAAATATCCATACCTGAAGAGGCAATTACCATGGCCAATTATCATTTCGGTGGAAAAATTTTCACCAATGCCATTTTTAAATTTGGGATACTTTTTTTTGATATCCCATAACGCAACTTACAGAACAGAAGTGGAACTAGTTTCAATGACAACTATGCTTCAGGCAAATATAATTATTCACACTATTTATAAATGGGCTTATTATACGCCAATTAAAAATTAAATAACATAAAAAAATTTAATGTGATTATATATTTAAGAAATTATCGCAAGCATTTGAACTGCATAATAAATTTTAATTATATCATATCTTATTAATTAATTTTTTTTTAATTTTTATATTCAAATAATATTTATATACAAATTAAATAAATAATATACTTTTTAAAGGAAAAATTTATTTTAAGTGTAACTTTATCTCTCTTCTAATCCTAAATAGTGTTGTTAAACGGCTCGTTTTGAGCCAATTTTTAAAAACGGCTAACTCAATATTTTCGCTAGAAAAATATTGCCTAAACCTCGAGATTTCACAATTAGATGTTTAGAACTTCGGGCCATCTATGAGCAAAATCTTCAGGTTTGCGTTATATTCACCTGGATGAGTTAAGATAATATGAAAAGTTATTAATATGGATTTCATATTCGCTGGAAGATGATCAGTAAAAGCCGAATAAGTGAATTTTAATTTTTTTTTAAATCAAGACCATAGAAAAAATTTACATACCCTGACCGAATTTTGTATAACGAAATCCGGGTGGAAAAAAATCAGGGCCGGCTTTGAAATATAAAACTCGGGCTGAAAAAATAAGATGAACCGGTTCTAAATTTTTAAAATTAAATTATAACTGAGCCGGAAATATATTTTTTCAAATCCAAACTATGCAAATGATACCTCCGCAAATCTGATAATTATGTTGTGAAAAAATATCTCAAGTTTTAATTAGAATTGCTTAACAAATTTATTTTTTAGCATTATAAAGATAATCAATAACTATAGCAAATCTCCAGTATACTATTGAAACTACTATGGGAACGAAGGTATCAATTAGTAAATAAACCTGTTTTCAGTAATATTTATGGAAAAAAATCAATATATGATTAAAAGAATTTATTATATAAAATGCTTTCAATATTTATCTAAAATTTTTTTATTCACTATTATTTTAATATATCTTGATTGACCAATTTAAAAAATAGAGGCCGATCTGATATTGAAAAAATTGCCAGATCCTTATAAACGTACTATTTTTTCGAAATTCATTTTAATATTTGTAAACTACTTTTCTTTGATATTAAAGAAAAAACCAAGCAATTAAAATAATTCTTTTCACATCAGCTTCTATCCGTTACAACCACCATCATTGGATATCAATATTGATTATGAATTGCTTCAAAAGTATGCCTTGTTACCCAAAACACCACATTTAATCATTTTACCCTCCGACCTTAAATATTTCGTCAAGGTAAATATTAAAATTACTTTAAAATCGAATTTTAAAATATCTAAATTTTATTATTATAAAAAAATACATTTGAGTGAAACGTTTAAGTCTAAATTCTATAATTTTTAGATCTACAATAAAACCTGTATATTTGGGCATCGTTGAGACCAAGATTTTTGTACAACTTTGACAGTTATCCAATTTGTCAAAACTTTTTACTTTCTAAAAGTAGTTAAAATTTGATTTAGACTCAACATTTTGGTCAACTTAAGGAGTTTCCCAAATTATCAAGAGCTCAAATTATATAAGTTTTACTGTATTTAGAACTTTTCATCAAATTTTATACCCTTTTTTTAGTGCGGTTAAATAACTAGTTACTTTTGAAATATAATCATAATAATTTACCTTTTAATAAATATTTTTATATTGGAAGTATTTTTAATATAATCTTTAAAAAGATATGTAAACATAAATCAATTCGGGATTCTCCTTGTTTTTTTCCATCTAGACAACAAAGTGTTACATCTAACATTCAATAAATTAGATTTCGAATTCTAATAACTGTATAAACAACAATAATTTTAGATTTTTGGTTCACAGCCTTTACTGAGCTTGAAATATTTGAAAAGATAATTTAAAATGTATTTTTTATATAATGCAGAATATAGAAGATTGTGTAGCCATCAATCCCGGAAGATTTATAAAAGGTTCTTTTCCCGGTACATTTGCAGAAATCATTATTAACAAAAATATCGATAATATTTACAATATTCTTGATCATTGTTGTATTAAAATATTTGGATATTGATCATTAAAAAAAATAAATGAATATATATTTGCGTATTTATTAAATTACCCTGCTATTTTATTTATGACCTACCTTAATAAAATTAATGGATAATTTCGTGCAAACACCCTTTTTTAGGGTATAAGGAGTTTGCTTCTTTTAAAATGGAAAAAAGTAAACTATCAGATGTCTTACTAAATATGTCATTTTAAGATTTATTGTATAAGAGATTATATATTTTAAAAAAAATAAATACAAGGTATAAAAAATATTTCAGAGGTTTTGTTATTATCAATTAATAATTTTTATATAAAAAATTTTCTTCTTATATATAAAATATAATATAACGATTTTCGTTATCCCTTCATATGAAAGACAATTGAACCAAAAAAGATTACGGATTGAATTATAATAACTTCTGAGAATTCCGTCGCATTCATCAATCATAGTTTATCATGTTACCTGTAACTAATTTATGTGTAAGAAAAATGAAGTAATTTCAACTTTGAATAGTTGAGTTTAAAATATTAGATTAAAAAAACTATTGTTAGTCAAGATATCGTCGTTCAGAGTTTGGAAATTATCTTGAAAATAAATATTAAAAAAAATTTCTGAATTTTTTTTTCTGTCAGATCAAATTTTTTCTAAAATTTCAAATCTTTTGCAATTTTTAACATAAGATTTTTTTTCAAACTGATATCGTCGATTAATTATTATATACAGCGTTTGATTAAGCTGGGAGTGGGCGGTAGGGGTTCATGTTTAAATTATCGATTTAAAAAATATATGTTGTTAAATATAATTGGCTAAGTCAAATTAATTTATTATTTCCATATCCAAATTTAGATAAAAATGTTATCGGAGTGCTTTTCCATTTTTAAAATAAAAGAATAATTAATTTATGTTAAATAAAAAGAGCGATCAATATCCCCAGATACCAGATGTCCAGATCTTTTATAAAGTTCATAAGCTAATTTACCTCTTGTAATTAAAATTTAATAAAATACTTGTACAAAAATAATGTATAAAAATTAAATTCTACTTTAGGTTTAGACATAAATCTTTAAGTATTACTAAAGTTATAAATTATTCCATCTTCTAATATATTATTAATTTCACTACAAATATAATCGAAGAGGTTATCAAATCATTAATAATTTGAACCTAATATATTTTGATTTAAATAGATAAAATTTAATCACAGTCTTAACAGAAATTGATTTACGATCAAAAATTCCTATAATTCATTTTATATATAATAAAATTTAGTGTTTTTTTTAAAAACGCTCATTATAAAAGTGACCTCTATAATAATAAAATGATGATATGATTACAAATGTGATAATATAAATAAATTATAACTTACTTGATTAATTAGGCCATTTAAAACGAGTGTATTTAATTTCCCATCTTCTTGGTTTTCATAAATAAGCTAAAATATATCAAATATTATAGAATGGGTGAATTATAAATTATTTTTCATATTGAAGAAGGTGGCACCTCGCCGTGTGATAGGGTAAGCGTCATTTTAGACTATTAAAAGAAAATACAACACTTATATTTTAAATTTTATTAAAAAATAATTAATTTTAATTTATAAATCAAAATTATGGTAATTTCAAAAGTAAAACAAAAATATATTCTTGAAAATATTATTTTACAACTAAAAAAAGTATCTCAAAAATATACAAATTAGTCCCTTTTATAGGGAAAATAAAAAGCGCAAGTATAAATTAAAATAAAATTGGCGCAAGGTGAAAAAAATGAACGTATATGTGAAAAGGAGTTGTTTAAGTTTTATCTTACATAATTTGGGATAAAACCTACCCCCATATTTCCGGAACTCTAATTATACCTCTGGATGCAGGGTGATCTCCTGGACCTCAATAAGTAAAAGAAAACACAAAAGTCATATGTTTTACCTTTAATATACTTAACTCAAAACAAAAGAGAGGCCTTAAAAAACTTTATTTAATTTTATGTACTACAAAACAAAAGAGGGGTATAAAAAACTATTTTTAAATGGCTAAACAAAAGAGAGATAGCCAAAATAAAATATGGAATACCATATTTAACATATAATTTCATTTTATGCATTAATATTTAAAGGATAGTATTTATTAACTGTTTAAATAGTTAGTCTGGCCTAATTAGTATTAATTTTTTATGGAAAAAAAAATTCATTTAAACTATGAAAACATTTTCAAAAGGCCCAGCCTGTAAAAATTTATCAAGCCTGAAGCGGGCCTGTCTTTTGGACCAACATCTAGTAACGATACTTATACATTCCAACTTAGCCCAAATACAAATCCTACTTTCCAAAATATGTACAAGGCATAACAGATACCTTCATTGCACGGGAGCGTCCAAACCAAATTTCAAATTATGAATAGGCCACATATATAATTTTTATTTTTTTGCGGAAGAGTAGGAGGCAGGCAAGGCAATATTATTTTTATAAAGAAATCAAAAATAGATTTTTTAAAAAATCCATTGTGATCAATAAAAAAATTTTCTGGGTGAACAATCAATGTTTGTATTCCATTCTCTCCAGGATTCAGAAAGGGGCCAACCAAACACATAATAGACGCGAGAAGATAAAAAGGATTAATATTAATGAATACATGCTGAAAAAGTATAATTCAATAAAGCATCAAAATTATCTAGATACTAAGTATGGGTGCATCTCGTTAACTCTGGTGTAATATTATTTTGAAATAAAGATAAATAAAATGCTTTTTATTTTCTCGAGAATTCAAACGTAACGCAAAAATTACCTATATCAGATCCCTTGAATATAAAAAAAACTAATAGAGCCAAAAAAAATAGAATCATTTTTCTAATTTAAAAACGAGGAAAAATATTTGTAAATGTAAGGGTGTTAAAAATAGTTACCGATACGTCCCACATGACCATCAATCCATCTATTCCAACAGTTGAGAAAACCTCCGCATTAGCTTTACCGCCTACTACGAGTTTTATTTCGCTATAAAATTGTTGAATATAAAATAGTTTATCTTAATTTAATACTTTTTTATTAAGATTATAGTTATTATATATATTGGGTATTTAAAACAAAACCGAATTTCGATATAGGGCATAAGGCATCACCTTTGGTTTTGTAACAAAATATTTTTTTTATTAAATTCTATATGAACCTAATGAAAGGAGGGAACAGTTTGGGGGAAAAAATGGCTAAAATCAAACTAATAAAAATTTGGTTTAATTAAGAGTATTTTAAATAGATAATTATAATTCAACTAAGGATATTTTCAGCCATCTAGTAAATGTTTTAGCAATAAAAATAAAGGAAAAAGAAGAATAGGTGGTGTTTGTTTTAAAAAATAATTTATTACTAACTAATAAGAAACGTTAATTAAAGGTCAACACACCCTGACTTGTGAGCTAGTTAAGACAAAGTTTAAAATATTTTTACGGCCAGGCTGGGCTGAAGTTTCGAGAATAGTTTTTAAAGTTGACCTCTAAATGTTATTGATATGTTCATCAGGCGCTTCATATATTCAAGTAGATAATATGAAATTACAAAAGGTATTCATTTTTAATTCGTGCAAAAAATAATTCAACGAGCATATCTGTTTCGACTGGTTCAGCCATTTTTTAAAAAAAAGTAAAATCTTGACTGAAACTTTCCCAAAATTTATAAGTCTTGTTATGTTTCAGCAATGTGCCGATTTGTTAAATTAGAAAAATATCTCATTGTTTGAAATAAATTATAGTAAAACAAAAGAAACGGGCGCCTTAATTAATAAATGAACACATCTTCTCTTACCTATCCACATTATATTACACGATTGTACTGTGCTCTAGCAAAAAAATTAATATTTTCTTGAATTTAACAATGATCAATTAATTGAGGAAATATTATCAAGCCCATCGTTGATCATTATAAGTATCTTACTCATTTTTAATTTTTACCAAGGGTATAAAAAAATGAAATATATTGAGTTTCAAACAAGCCAAAAATAAATATGGATTTTAGTTATAAATTTTTTAAAGATATCTAGAATAATTCAAATCTTCACATTTAAAAGCAAACAAAAATAGATTTTGAAATTCAAAAAAAAAATCTCCCCAGTTCTATTATTTAATTAATACATCATTTGATTTTCGCGATATACTTTATGGTGTTTTGATGTAGGGTGTGGACGATTGTTTCGATCTTAGCTGACGTCGCGTGTTTATCCATACTTTGAAATTTGCTCATGGCACTTTATAATAATAATAAAATATTAAAGAATCTTGCCTATAAAGTTGGTAATTTTATATAGTAAGATCTGCGATTGCTTGGTAAGCGAAAAATTTAAAACAGTGTAAAAAAATTAATTTAAATTGGAAATTAAATCAAATGATTTTATTTATTCTTTTAAATAAATGATTTTAAATCAAAATTTTTGGTCTCACTAAATAAGAGAATCAAATCCATTAATTTTTTTAAAGCTTCCTCCAACATGTTTTCAAATGTTTATTTATAACATTGAAAAAATAGCTTAATATCTATGTAGTCCTCGTTTTTCTTAAACTTATTGGTTTTCTATATTTATCATCTATTTGGATATGACCTTAGTTTTAGTATTTTAAGACTTAATAAATGATGTTTGGAGTGGAACATCGTAACGGATTAATATAAATTTGTTATTATAATTTTAGGTATCTTAGAGATTTATCTTATCAAAAATCTTTGAAAGATCAATAAAAATTTCTAAATTTTTTATTGTTTCTCAAAAAAATTTCCGTGTGTGCTTTTGTTACGTGCAAAATATCTTTTTTCAAAATATGATCTTCAGATATTTTTGCTCAAAATTTAGCCTATTGGAAAAAAAATTTAAACCCTGTCAGCCCAATATTTTTCCTTAATTTTTTTCTCTTATCGGATAATAAGAGTTCAGTTTAGATCGAACTCGGAAAAGATCAGACTGAAAGTTTAACTATTCTTGGATTAAATATAACCTTATAAAATAGGTCTGTCTGATGCAGAAAATGTTACCGTGCCATTTTTTTATCATATATAATATTACCAAATTTAAAAAATAAATAATTTTGTTTAAATATCATAATCCTATACCTGACATTGGAACTCAATTTTTCGGAAATTTTATCGTTGTCATATGAGGCCTTGTCTAATTTACCCCCAAAGGTTAAAGATTTATTACTATTCTGTTGGGAGTATATCATAGGACAGCAATCATATCCCTTATAGTAGATTAATTAAAAGAATAATAAAAAATATTATTTATAAATCTCAATATTAAAATTTTTTAAAAAAGTAACCAAAAAAACTACTAACCGCTAATATGATCGTATTTTCATTGACCCATTGTAATGATTTAAAAGGCAAATGAGGCGTTTTTTCAACAATCATTAACCCAGATCCAGAAGTAATTAATGAGTTTGATAATGTTGCGATCTGAGTTGGGGAAAGGTTAGAGGTATTATTCAAAAGGGTATCGTAATCATTCAAAATATTATTTGAGGTGGTTTTGTAATTGGTAATTTGGGATGAGGTTTGAAAAGGTGAGATTGCAGGATTTGATGAGATATCAATCAGACTTATAGTACTGTCATGAGAACACCATGCTAATTTGTTACCAGTAGAGGAAAAGCTTACCCCAAGGACCCAACCACCTTTAATAATTTTTTTTTTAATATATGAATATAAATAAAATTCAAGAATCGGATCCAAAACGGATATTGGTTAGTTTTTGATAAAAATAACGATTCATTCAGGTTTAGTTAGAAAAATTATATAATCAGTTCAGTTTGAACAACTGGTTCAAACCTTTTCACATACAAACTTAATAGAATCATGTGTATTAGAGATGCAATCTTTTTTTAAATAATTTTATCGCTAAGATTCATGTTTAAAGTAAATATAAATATATTAATTAAAAAATTTTTTCCTTCTATATACTATTGATTGAGGCCTATATAATTAAAATTCCAGATATCTTCTGATGAATAAAATCCACAAGGGGATAGAATAATTTTATAGTTAAAAACACCTTTTTTGTGAGAGGTGTTTAGCATATGGTTAAAATATATTCGCATAATCTACAAGTCAATAATATTTGAAATTCTTCAAATAATATTATATATTATAATGTCGAATAAAATAAGATATTTCTTTTATTAAAGTAAAAATTTAAATGATTTGTATATAAGTTGGATATAATAATGCCAGCGAAAGTAAAAATCATATTATATATTCAATTATCAAAAAATGAGTTAAATATAAATATAATATATGTTAGAAAATATATCTATATTTTAGTATATTATAATTTGGTAGGAATAAATAATGATGATATTATAACGACAAATAAGTGAGGGCTATCAAAAGACATAATTAATTGTGTATGAATATGAGAAGTCAAAAAATATAGTGATGATTAAGATTAATATTATATTAATTAAGTAATATTATAATTTGAGATATAACAAAATGGGCATCATTGATTTTTGTGTATTATTGTGTACCCAATTAATAATTTTTATTTGTCACATAATATGGAATTACAAAATTAATATTTAATTATAAATAATAATAATATATACTATATTATATTTCCCCGAAATATAATTAAATCCTCTTCAATAAGTCTATTTAGTGCCTTGCGATTACGTAATGAACATCGTACAATATTTGAAAATGCTAATGTTGAACACTTGAAACAATAGTTTCTTTCGCCTCAAGATTTTCCCCCATTTATGGTTACACGAGCGGAATTTCCTATCCGAAGAGATGAACGACCCAAGGTAGACTTCATTAATTACCGTATGGGTTACTGCTTATATATTTGGTATATGTTTGGGCAATGATGTTAAACAAAGCCGCTGGGAAACAAGTTAATGCCTCACGCTATAGGATAAAACAATGATGTTTAACCCTGGGAAGAAACTATTGTCCGAACATTTATGGGATTGCCAACAAACCTTGGCGCAAAATAAAGCTCAGCATTTTTTTAAAAGATAAATTTGTATACTATACAATGCATTTTTTATATTATGTTGTAACATTTCATAATTATAAGGATATTGGATCTGTTAATGGTGGGCATGTTGTATTTTTTTTTATATATTCATAATTTCCTTTAACAGATGTAATATTTTCGAAAGAGCCAATTGATTATATTGTTACAGTGAAAAAATTAATTGTAAAGATCATTTTTTATTATTTGTGAATTTTTTAAGTTTTCATATTATTATTATTATACATCAACGGCGATACTCCTAAGGGTAGAATAAAATATATCTCGTTCCTCCGATGAATTCTACAAGAGTTGTTTCCTTTTTACATAATTTTGAAATTTTGTTAAAATTGAGTTAAAAGAATAAACAATACTCCATTATTAAATTCGTGGAAACCAAGATGGAGCATGAATTCTCCAGGTATAATTATGGAATTTTTACTTAATTTAAATATTAAAAATACCAAATATCTTTATTCCAATTTAAGAGTATCGCCACTGATGGCGATACCCTATAATTCATTTTCATTCCAAATCCAAACTCAACTTGTTAGACGATTATTGGATATTTTCACCAAACAAACGCATTATTGAACTATAGTTGTAGTGGGATTGGTAGGTTCAAGATTCCGGCACACAATAATCGATTTAACTAGGGATGTATTGATATTTTTATCGGATCGGGCCGATATTTCACCCATTTTAAATATCGGTTATCGGTCAATATTATAAAATTTTCCGATCCGATATAAAATGGCGTCTTTAACAAAAATAAAATGTTATAAATTTTTAAAAAAAAATTATATCTAAAATCATTTATTTTAATAAATAAAATCTTAATCCATTTTTATGTATATTTTTTTAATAATAATTATTAATTAATAAATATTCTGCCATATTGTTAATTTTTTGCGCATTCTGTTTATAAAAGTGTGTAATAATCTCTTCAGAATCTGTTTTTAGTGAAGCTGGTGATACTGATAATTACCATCGTCGCAGACCGACCTCTGGTAAATTGGAAATTTTGGTATTTCTAAAAAGAAATCTTCGATATATTAATGTTAAATATTATTTTAAATATTAATTTCAAATTTCATAATGTATTTGTTTATTACTTATTAAGTATATAGATTAATGTTATAAGTGATTTAACAATAAAAATATTTTATATACTTTTAGAATTGCAATTTAATTGAATTTAAAATATAATTGATCATTATAATATATTTAAATGACATAAGTTATGGTATAGTTAAATTATAGATGTTATACTAATAAAAAGTATATTAAAAATTAAAACCATTAGTATCTTTACAGAATACAAAAATAGATATAATATCGGATCGGCCTCCAAAAAGTGGTATCGGTACACCTCTAAATTTAACTTAACTTCAATTGGGTTATGAAGAGGAAACGGTATTCGTCTTGAATCAAAAGCCCTGAGAACAGCAGAATCCTACAAAGAATCTTCATTGCAAATAGTATATACATAGGTATATTATCAAATATTTGTTTGTTTATGCTTGTTAATTAACTTCTTTATTTTTACCTCCAAATTTTTATTCACAGTTATTGTCATTGGTGTTTTTAAGTTATCAATTATATTTTCTACAAATTTAATCAAAACTTGGAGTGGCATTCATTTCCTTGTTGAAAGCTAATATTCAAGGCATCCAAATAAAGAAGTTTATGTTTGTTGTTATCATCCGTAGTATCTTCTTGCTCCAATTTTTACAAGAAACTTTGTCTCTTTTATGTACAGTAGCTGATTTCCAAACGCTATTAGTGGATTGGTCGGTTTGATATTTGGTTGCCCTATTTTCTTCCAAATATCTTTTCCAATTAAGGATAACTGAGCACCAGTATCGATATCAAAATCAACATTTAATTAACTTTCACTATTAGTTTAGCTAGTTGTTTCTTCTCAGTTGCTATGTTACTAATCAAATCGTGGAATCAGATGCCTCCTTATCATAATTTAAAGATCTGACCTTACAACATCTGACATAATTACCTAGTTTGTTCCCCTTAAAATAATACTCAAAGACAGGACACCATTAGTCAGGTCATAAATTTGGCCATAGCATAGATATTTATTTCCCCCCTTTATTGTATATAATTTTCTTCTTAAAACAATTATTGTTGTAATATCTTTGTAAAATTGTCATCATTATTATATTTCTTACTAGAATCATTATTATTACTTTTTATCATACTCTTTATTGATGCAAAGTATTATTTTGATACTTTAGCAATATTTGTATCGAAATTCCTTATCATTCCTTATCATTTCTTTTTATACTTGATCTGATACACAAGATTTAGTATACGAAATAAATGTATTTCCCTTCTTTGTCTACATCCAGCAGATATTGTGCCAAAGATCGCTTTTTGAGATTAGGTAAATCCATACTATATAAAAAATGATCCCTGAATCTCATGTCCACATATCTTTACCATAATTACATTGGGCCTCAGAAGTCAGTTTATTAACAAATTCCATGAAAGGCTCTCGTCCCACACTTTTAAGTTGAATAAAGTCCATAGGTAAAAACACTTAATGAAGTTTTATAGGTTTTCTTGCATATTATTTTAATTTCATAAATGTGAAATTGTCAAGTCTGTGTGGATGAGCTTATTTTTTGATAATAAATTTTTTAATACATGTCTGTTAGAATAATTTTTTTAAAAACTTCACTAACATTTAAAATAATAAATAATATGAGAATTTATTTCATACATTTCCAATTTGATGTGATTAAAATATTTTCAACTCTTCTACTATAATAATCTCTGATCATTGTCAAATATTGTGTATCTAATCTATTAATTTGTCATATATTATTGAATTTCAAAACTAATAATCAATCATAAATAATTAAAATTACATACTATATTATATGTATAACAGTCAAGCAATATAATAAAATATCATAATTTGATTAAGAATAATAATACAACTTCTTTGGCTAAATTAGGTAGTTGGCCATCAAATAGCAAGCAATTTATAAATAATTAGAATTTATATTTCTATAAAAATAATACATAGTATATTATATGTATAACAGTCAAGCAATATAATAAAATAGTATTATTTGATTAAGAATATTATTATAACTTCTTTGGCTAAACTGGGTAGTTGGCTATCAAATAGCAAGCAATTTATAAATATATCTAAAAAAAGCTAATTGATAATAATTGTTACGTTAAGAATCAAAAGGTTCAAACCTGTTTATAAAGAATCTAAAGTTCAATTCAGGTTTAGTAAATAATAACAGTTAATACCAACTTCAGGTTGGATATCCCACAATAATTGATAAATATTATATTAAAATTTAACTTACTATATTCATTAGTAAATTCTGCTAATAAACTACCAAATTTTTCAGCATTTCCCCATAGTGATGGAACATAATTTTTATCAAGTTCTGGTAATATAGCTGAATAAATCCTGAAAAAGTTATATTAATATTGTATTGATTAAATTATTTAACCTAGTTTTAAAGTCAGTTGAGCCAACAGCCAGCAATACATTGTCAGGATGCCAATCTATACATGTAACTGTAGATTTTATTGATTTTTTAATATGTTTGCTGACCCACCAATCATTCTCTTCATCAAAATGGCAAACCGCAACTAGCTTTGCACTACTACCCACGGCAAATTTGTTGCCTTGAAACAGGTAAATTATTATTGATATAGGAATAATTTTACCATTAGGTGACCATTTCACACACATTGCTGCACGATTAATTCTTAACAAAACAAGAGTTGGTTTCCATCCTTCTTCAAAGCAAGTCCAAACATAGGCATTCCTATCTTCGCCACAAGTAGCTAGTTGGTTTGTTTTGGGACACCAATCAATTGCTGTAACTCTCAACTCATGTTCTTCAAGGGTATCAATGAGCTGCCAATTTCTACCAGTATAGGCGTATATGTTTACAAAATTATTATTAAGACTTAAGGCTATTTGATCACATTGTTCATTCCATGCATGGCATGTAATTGGATCTCCAAAATTATAATGCCTTGCCATTAATTCTAATTTCCCAAAAGTTGCACGCCCTGCTAAGGGTTATCTTTAAGTTATTTAGGAAAGCAGAATTAAAACATCTGATCGATATTTATATTAATGTTTAATTTGAATTGAATAATTATATGATTATCAATTAATTACTTTATTATATAATATTTATTTATAATCGTCCCTTTTTTATAGTTTGATTTATTAATTTTAATCATATTAAATTTTAGGTTCGTTTTTTTATTTTAATCATATATGTATTAGTATATTAACATGGATCGGGTTTTGATTTAATATTATCATATATAATATAATCATTAATTTAGTTTACACCCCCCCCCCACCAATTTTCATTAATCATTTTATATTTATATATAAATTTAAGTTTTCAAATCAAAATTACCCTCCCCTCCTAATTTCCAATTTTTTCTTAAGATATAATATTATTTAATTGTGCAACATGTCATAGATATTATATCCTTTCCTTAAGTGAAGCAAAGAATAAACCCCTTCAATTTCGTGTCTTAAATATCCATATTGAATAATAGTATGATTTTAATAAACTTTATCTATTAATTATAAGAAAATTAAATTCCTTATTTGCATATATTTTTTCTGAAATTTTTTTAAATAAAAATATCATTCTTTTTATATTTTATATCATTTTTTCCTTTTTTGTTTATGCTAAAAAAATAGTATTTTACTACATTTGAAAAATACTATTAAAAATATTTTGCTGGTAATTTAGAAAAAATTTCTCTAATGAAATATCTAATTTTTTAAACAATGAGACGCCAGATCAAAATATTAATGTTAATATTTTATACTTATCTAAGCATCATTCCTGTTCAGCACACACTTTAAATCTTATGTATTGACACTGAAAAGGCACTCAACGATGTCCATTATAAAACCATTTAAAAAATTACATTTTCTAAATGTAAGCTTTTGTGGAATAAACATGGGCAATCTTCGAACTGTGCAGCCATTTTTAAGAAAAATATGGGAAGATATTTGATTAAACCTGTTATAACGATGGAAATCTTTCTATAACTCTGTAAAATTAATAAATAGTCTTATTAAGGTGAATTACCAAAAATTTGATGAATCTTGCGACAAATCTGGATTACAGAGATTTTCAGATAACAACAAGTCGTTCATAGATAAATATTGTATGGTTAGTGTTAATTAAAATATGATATGTATATATATGATTTTATAGGTTATGAAACCGATAGCTACGGCTCTTTCAATTTTAGAGAGCGAAGAAAATATGCATTTGGGATATCTCACTCCCATTATAACCATTATAATATCAAAACTTAAAAAAATTGGCTTTAAATAATTTTAAGTTTTGTAAGCCGCTTATTGATTCAATCCTGGAAGCCATAGATATTGCTTATAATTTATATTTTGACTATCATATTTTCAATAGATTTAAACACATCTATGATGATGATTATATACTATCGGCAATAATTCACCCACTATTTAAATTGGATTGGCCCTGGATAAATTAGAGGTCAATAAGGGAAGAATATTGGAACTTATTTCCAGTTTGAGATAAGATATTGATAAAGAAGATCAGGCTTGATTCCTTTATCCAACACACACACACTAGAATATTTTCAGATAATGATAAAAAAAATTTTGATGAGGAAATGAATGAAGATCTCTGTGAAGATGATCTTTCAAGCTTTTTTCAAAATAAAGATATTTCCTTAAATATTTTTAATAAATTCCCCGAATTGAAATTTTTGTTTATTAAATATAATACCACTCTCCCATCCTCTGCGCCAATTGAACGTGTTTAGCACGGCGAAAGCTGTGTTGAGGACTAAGCGCTCATGTTTATCTTATCAAAATTTTGAAAATCAATTGTTGTTAAAAATAAATAAAAAATTGTTACATAAAGATGTTATCTTATAATATATTATTTTTGTATAATTTTATTCATATTATAATTATATATGAAAATTTTATTATAAAAAGATCTTATCTTATATGTTCTTTTTGTATAGTTTTATTTTATTATATATTGTCGGTAAAAAAATAAATATTTTTTTGCATTATATATAACATTTAATTTTTTTAAGTAACGAGTAGCCCGTTACTTTTTTGAAAAGTCGGTAACGCGCGTTCCTTTTGTAAAATAGTAACGAGTAACGGAACGCGTTCCATTTTTCAGATGTAACGAGTAACGGTAACGCGTTTCTCTTTTTGTAGTAACGTTTACAGCACTAGGTATTGACGCTATTGGTATGTCCCGAATATATTACTCTTTAAAATTTATATATACTAGTAGAAAGCCCGTCAAAAATGACGGGGAATGAGATTTTTATTCATTTTTTACGATAGATGTCATGCCAGGTTAAGCTCACAATATTAGGAAGCATCCAAGATCTTATAATTTTAAAAAAGTTTATCAAGCCCAGCTCAACTCTTAATAATTTGTTACTATTAATTTTGAGGTTCCAAGCCCAGTCCTGCCCATTATAATTTTGAAAATTTTTTCCACCTCGGAGATAGTTAAATTTTTAATATCATCACATGAACGAGAAATATCTGATTTACCAGTCAGTCTAATATGGAAAAACATGTAAATTCCGTATTAAGGGAAACTGGGAAGGCCTGGGCAACCACTTATTAGAGAATCATGACAAATAAAATAAAAATAAACGACTCTTATACTTTTTTTAATATGATCAATTAAATATACTAGTAGATAGCCCGTCAAAAATGACGGAGAATGAGAATTTTATTCGTTTTTTTAAGAAAGATGTTACCTTTTATTTAAAAATCATATACAATTTATATAATTTTTAAACCCCCCCCCTCCCCATTTAGGTCAAGTCCAAGCAATGTCATTGAGTCCAACCCATTAGGAATAAGAGTGGAAACTATTATTTGAGTCAAATCTATTTAAATGAGCTTGTACCCAATGCCAAAATTCTTTGTAAATATATTACTGGTTACATAAGACTAACATTTAACATTTAAAAATTTCAAGCCAGGTCCAAGCTCATAATATTTGGAAAAAATTTCCACGCGTGACCTTATAATTTATAAAAAAATTTCTCAAGCCTAGCTCAACCCATAATAATTTTGAAAATTTTTTCCTAGCTCGGCCCATAATAATTTGTATAAGATATTCCCAAGTCAGGTGCAAGCAAATATTAATCTTGAGGAGTATTTTTCAAGCCCAGTTCATCCCATATTAAGTTTCAAAACTATTTCCCAAACCCGGAGATAGTTAAATTTCTAAATAATTTATCAACACATGAAGGGGAAATCTCGGATTTACCAATTAGTGGGTTAACTCCTTTTATCAAAAAATTTGATAAGGGCTATCTATATCTTTTGTTAAGTACAAAAAAATCTATTTATTTAAATTACAAAAATGCCATTCAATATTAATGAAACTTATATGCAATTTATTTATATATTTTTTAAGAAATTTGTTTTTCATGCCATATAAATTTAGGTAATTTTTTTAAAAATAATTATTACTCTGTGTGTCTGGTAAAATTAAGAGCAAATCCTTTCAGTCGTCTGCAGAAGAAAAAATTAATGTATAATATCATCCCATTTAGGGTTGTAGGTGAAAGTAATGAATAATGACGGATTACCAAAGCAATGTACAACACCCATTGCGTCCTGATAAAGCTGAGGCCCTGGGCTACTGGTAAAAGAAGAACGCAAAATGATATTTCTTCCAAAGTGTCAGTTTTGGTATCCCCCTCTAAAATAGAATCATGAACGACATTGTCAACTCAACCATAAAACGGTCGTAAGTATTGTTAAAGGCCATGACAAAACTACCGCATTTTCCCATTAATAATGTTAATGAAATTGGCCGCACTACACATTCACGTTTGAACATCTCTCTAAATATTCATGAAAGTTCCTCAGGGAATCGGATAAAGTATTATTTATAATAACTCCTAATGAGGTAAATGATAGTGGAATTAAATGCTTTTATTTGTTAAAAATTAGGCAGAGGTGGCATAGGGATTGTGGTAGTGGTGATAGAAATATCATTTGGAGGCAACTGGGTGTATAAAATAAACATATAGATATAAAACATTAGATAAAAAACAAAATAAACCTCCAGAGGAGTTCACAGTGCCTTATTATCTTGGCCACCAGTAACTCTAGAACGGGTAAGGCGGTTGTTGAATCGCCATTTTTTTCTTTGCTTATCTTTAATAAAAGATTCATCATGTTTGGTAGCAATGTGAGGGATTAGGGTTAGCCTAGACAAATAAAGAAATCAGGCAAAAATATAAATATACTATTGTTGAAATTAAACAAACATTAAAATAATGTAACGGTAGAAGGGTCAATATTAGATGCATATTTCTAATAAGTTGGAGGGCTATCATCAAATAAAATTTTTGGGGATTAATCAAGTCTATTATGATATTCTAAAAGTTAAAAAATAACATGATAAATGTAATGATTCAAGCATCCAAGATCTTAATATTTAAAAAGATTTTCTCAGCCCACCTTCCCTAATAAATTTGCAATCAAGCCCAGAGATATTAAATTTATAATTAATGAAGAGGAAATATCTTATTTACCAATTAGTCAACAGGTAAAATATATTACTTTATAAAAAGAATAACATAAGACTAACATTTAACATGGAAAAAATATCCAAGCATCCAAGACTAACATTTAACATTAAAAAATCCCAATATAGGTTCAAGAAAAAAGCATCCAAGATCTTAATATTTAAAAAGAATTTCTCTAACCCACCTTCCCTAATAATTTTGAAACCAAGCCCAGAGATATTAAATAAGGCTAACATTTAACAATAAAAAATCCCAATATAGGTTCAAGCCTACAATATCTGGAAAAAATATCCAAGCATCCAAGACTAACCTTTAACATTAAAAAATCCCAATATAGGTTCAAGCCTTCAATATCTGCATAAAATATCCAAGCATCCAAGATATTAATATTTAAAAAGAATATCTCAAGCCCACCTTCCCTAATAATTTTGAAATCTAGCCCAGAGATATTAAATTTATAACATAAGACTAACATTTAACATTAAAAAATCCTAATATAGGT